CACCAACTTCTACTACGATTAACGCTACAACGATTGCTACGACTACGATGATTACTACGAGTACCGCTGTTACGAGCAGTGCTCCAGCAGTGAGTACTACTGTGATCAGCGACACCAACTTTTGCTGATTTCAATGCTACAGCAATTGTTACTACTATGACTAACGCTCCAACAATTACTGCTATGATCACTGCTCCAGCGATGAGCACTACTGCGATTCACAATGCACCAACTTGTACTATGATTAACGCTACAGTTACTGCTATGAGTAACTACAGTCACTATGACTAATGCTCCAGCAATGACCATTACTGTCATTCACGCTACTCCAACTGCACTATGATCCATGATGACTATTATGATTCACGCGACACCAACTTCTACTACGATTAACGCTACAATGATTGCTACGACTACGATTATTACGACGAGTACCGCTGTTACAGTGTTGCTCCAGCAGTGAGTACTACTGTGATCAGCGACACCAACTTTTGCTGATTTCAATGCTACAGCAATTGCTACGACTATGACTAACGCTCCCACAATTACTGCTACGATCACTGCTCCAGTGATGAGCACTACTGCGATTCACGATGCACCAACTTCTACTACGATTAACGCTACAACGATTGCTACGACTACGATTATTAGCACAAGTACCGCTGTTACGAGCAGTGCTCCAGCAGTGAGTACTACTGTGATCAGCGACACCAACTTTTGCTGATTTCAATGCTACAGCAATTGCTACCACTATGACTAACGCTCCAACAGTTACTACTACGATCACTGCTACAGCAGTAAATGCTGCTGTGATTGATTCACGCAACACCAACTTCTACTATGATTAACGCTACAACGATTGCTACGGCTACGATTATTAGCACAAGTACCGCTGTTACGGGTAGTGCTCCAGCAGTGAGTACTACTGTGATCAGCGACACCAACTTTTGCTGATTGCAATGCTACAGCAATTGCTACCACTATGACTAACACTCCAACAGTTACTACTACGATCACTGCTCCAGCGATGAGCACTACTGCGATTCACGCTACACCAACTTCGACTATGATTAACGCTACAACGATTGCTACGACTACGATGATTACGAGTACCGCTGTTACGAGCAGTGCTCCAGCAGTGAGTACTACTGTGATCAGCGACACCAACTTTTGCTGATTTCAATGCTACAACAATTGCTACGACTATGACTAACGCTCCCACAATTAGTACTATGATCACTGCTCCAGCGGTGAGCACTACTGCGATTCACGCTACTCCAACTGCACTATGATCCATGATGACTATTAATGATTCACGCGACACCAACTTCTACTGTGATTAACGCTACAACGATTGCTACG